GTATGGTTATTGCAGAGATTTTTTGCAGAAGGCAAGAGAGTATGAGATTCATTGCATATGTTTCAAGAAGAGCAAGCAAGGAAAGACAATAGGCATTGGGCGAGGTTACTGAAAATTTTCGTTTTTTGGTTGCGGGAACCAATAAAGTGAATAACAAATCATTCGATAACGCATAAGTATGAGAAATAACAATCTGAGTTCCACAAGTGATGTAAATACCTAAAGTGAATAACAAATCATTCGATAACGCATAAGTATGAGAAATAACAATCTGAGTTCCACAAGTGATGTGGAACTTCGGATACAAGTTGAAAGAGTTTTGTTGGCTCCAGCATGAGAGATGGCTGTGCCGCAGTTGTGTGATCATGTGACCACAACACCCCCCCCACGACAAGTCACAGACATCCATATGATAGTGAAAGAAAACATAGCGTAATAAGAAAAACATGATAAGAAACAAGATGAGAGTTATAATCAGGTCCGTTGTCTGGAATCTGTTGCCCGGTACAAGGTCTATGACCAAGTCTAGGATTATTTCTATTTGCCAGAAACAGTACCTTCACATACCAATCATTTAACAAGCATCATAAAAGAAAATCAGAAAAAAATAACAAAAAAACATGAGATTATGAAAATAAAGGTTTTCATTTGAGTCTTAAGTGTTTCAAGCCTTGATCATGTAAAGTTGGTCCAAGTGGTTTGGTGAGAATGTCTGCTCGTTGTGATTTCGTATCTATCCAATGTAAAAATATTCTTCCCTTATATATTTGTTCATTGATGTAATAAAATTCTCTATCTGTATGTCTGGTTCTTTTGTTGGATGAATTATCTTTTGATACATGAATTGCCGAGGTGTTATCACAATGCATATTCACAACGTTGCCTTGTCCAGTTAAATCTTCAATTAAATTTCTCAACCAGATAGCATCTCTACAGGCGGTTCCCAATGCCATGTATTCTGCATGACACGTTGATGAAGCAACACATGTTTGACGTTTAGAGGTCCATGCAATTGGGCAGTTAAGAAAGTAAGTGATGAATCCGTGGGACGACCTAGCTCCTTCTCCACCCCAATTAGCGTCTACGTACGTGTGGATAGGGGTTTCGACTTTCGTTTTGATTGGTTTGATTTTTAAGCTTTTAACGCCTGTGGTGTTCAAATATCTCATTACATGTTCAATTGCTTGCCAGTGTTGTCTCCTGGGGTCTGATGAGAATCGTGCTAAGTAGTTTACGGTGTACGTGAGATCTGGTCGCGTTGCTACGGACAAATAGTTTAAGCTTCCAATCGCAGATAAGTAGCGTTCAGTATCTACTCTCTCTTCTTCTTCATTCGGTGAACATGGAATTTTCTGAACATTCATCGGAGTTTTTGCTGTCCTTTCATCAGGTAAGAAGGATTTGATTATCTTCTTCGTCAATCCAGGTTGTGATAAAGTAAAACTTCCATCTTCTTCTCTCTTTACATTAACTCCTACAATTTGATCTAAAGTTGTCTCCCATTTAATTAATAATCTTTCTTTTAATTTTTCAGCAATCTCTAGTAGAAGTTTTTCGCTTGTTCCGGTTACTCCTCCATCATCACTATGAAGCCATATAATAACTGTTTCATCTTTTCTTCGATAAAAATATAATGATTGATCATATTGACTTGATGTGAAACCTAACTCCCGTAATATTGAATCAAAATGTTTCCACCCGCATCTAGCACCCTGTTTCGTCCCGTATAGAGCTTTGATTGCTTCTAAAATTTTATTCTTCTTTCGAGCTTCACACATATAACCAGTCGGAAGTGAGAAATAAATAGGTGAGTCAATTGCGCTGTGTAAGTAAGCTGATGTAATATCAAATGAATGAACAGGCCAGTTTTGATGTGCAGCGATGGTTAACATGATTCTGAGACCTGCAAACGTAGCTGTTGGTGCAAAAGTCTCAGTGTAATCGATTCCTTCACGTTGATTATAACCTTTCGCCACTAATCTTGATTTGAATTTTGTAGGATTTCCTTCATCATCAACCTTCTTATAAGCAAAAACCCATTTAAGCGCAATAGGTACTAAATCAGACGGTTTATCCACCACTTTCCACACTCCCATCTTATCCATCATGGCCATTTCTGCATCACATGCCTCCTTCCATCTATCTGCTTCTTTCGATCTCATTGCTTCAGCGTATGATGTTGGTGGTTTTAACAATTTGAGGTAATCATTTCCATCTAACGCGTGCTTTGCCGCTACGTCTTGCTTATCAATCAACAATTCATTTGTAAAGTCACCAAGTTTCAACGCATTTAGTATGTGTTTCAGTTGTCCTTTATCTGGTAAGTCTTCATTCATAATTTTGTTCAAGGATTTTGATGTCGTTACAGCGGTCTTCTTAGGTATTTCATTACTAGTTTTGATTATCTCTTCATATGGAAATTTCGCTACTGCCGATACAATGATTGTCTTTGAGGCTGGGTCATAAAATAACCAACCCTTTCCTCCTTCAGCATAACCTATCATTGTACATCGTCGTCCTCTGTCTTCTAATTTACCAGGGGCTCTCTGATTCGTATTGATGTGTACATAAGCAATTGAGCCAAAGGTCCTAATGATGTCGAGATTTGGTTTTTTGCCATGGGACAATTCATAAGGTGTTTTGTCATCGGTTAATGTGTTAGGGAGTCTATTATATAAGTAAGCAGATGTAAGATAAGCGTAATTCCAGAAGTGATTTGGTAGGCGACTATAAGATAATAGAGTTCTCGCCATGTCTCCTAAAGTTCTGTTTAATCTTTCAGCGTTCCCATTCTGCTCAGGTTCGTATGGATTGGAAAATTCATGATTAATTCCTTCATCCTTGAGCCATTTTTCTAATGTTCCTCCAATGTATTCTCCTCCTCGATCCGATCGTACTGTCTTGACTTTGATTCCCGTCTGGCGTTCCCACTTCTTGATGATATTCATTAGTTTTTGAGGTACTTCTGATTTCTGTTTGATGATTTCGATTTCCGAGTACCCTGTTGCTACGTCTCGAAAAGTAACCATTAGCTTTTCTCCTGTCATACATGGAGTGAAAGGTCCTGCCACATCAGTGACAATAACATCAAGTAATTTGGGTTCACGATTCGTGGATCCTAAAACTCTGTTGCGTGTGCTCTTGCATTTAAGACAATCCTCACAAGCTACCTCATGACATGGTCTCAATGGTGGCAAACCATACGATGCACTATGCTTAAATAGTCGCTTAATACGTCTCATTTGATACGTGACCAAAACGATTGTGCCCATAATCGTGATAAAACTGCGGTTGCTTGTATTGCGCATACCGAAGGAGGGAGATGTAGTATTACCAGTAGCATTTGATCTCCTACGTGAATTGATGAACCACCTTCTGTTCTTATGAACTGCATAGATAACCTTCCTTGATTTCAATTTAATTTTGTAGTTATTCTTCTCATCCAATGACATTTTTGCTCCCTTTTCAATTAATGCTCCAGGTGATATGATGGTCGTAGTTGCCTTTGGACAGTAATAAACATCATCAATCATCGCTGTGCTGCCATCTTCAGTTACGATTGGTAATCTACCTTTCCCAACAATCACAGCATTGGAATCATCAGCTGCTGTGTGTACAGGAATTGGGGTAGAAAGAGGTTGATAATTGGTAAGCAAGGAACGGTTATTGCTTACAGCATCCGTTGCTCCACCATCACATAAATATTCAGTCAAGTACTCAGTTGGCACGTCACTCTCGTTGTCGGGTAAGATGATGCCTTCGGAGTTGAAAGACATAGCTGAGGCGTGAACGAGGTGAGATGAAGGAGATTGGTCTGGTACAATTGAGTTGATATTGACCGATGGAGTTTTGTATGTTCTTGGATAAAGTACATCTATGCTATAATATAAGCCATTTTCAACTTTTCTCCAATCATTATAAGCAGCACCAGTCCTGTCACCTCCGCTCGTAAATGTCTTGCACGCTTTGAAGTTGTTGTCTCGGTACGTATGTCCCCATTGCCCACAGAAGAAACATTGAATGATACCTGCTTTGATGTTTGGGTGAGCCGAAGAGGGAATCGACAATGGTTTGTCCTCACTTGCTAGTCTCGCGTCGTTCTTATGGGTAATAGTTTCAGGTCCACGTCTCCAGCGAGCTTTGAGATCGGCATTCATTGGAGTATTTCGATAAGCATATTGGAATTGAGTTGATCTGTGATTGTTGTTTAGTGGCGTTGTAAATCTATTGGGCGTGTTTTGCCGATTTTGAGATTGCATACGTTGAGGGGTTTTAAAGGAAAAAGCTTCGATTGATGAAGATAAACTGTTGATCGATATAGTTTCTGAAGCGGTTTTTTCTCTGGCTAAGTGAATTTGAATTGCATTTTTTACATCATCAAGTTTGAAATTAGGTTTCTTGTCATCATATCTGTTATCTAAATCTTTGTTGATTTCCTTTGTCATTTCAGCAGGCATACGTAGTTGGTACAATAAACCTTTAATCGAGTCACTAGTCCAAGTAAATCCAGTAGACTCTAACTCAGAAATAATGGCATCGATATTGGACATGTGAGTAATGATATCAGTCTCGTTCAGGTCAAGTTGGTGATGAATCAGACGGCTAAAAAGGGCAAATTGGTTGGTGCGACCACCGCGGCTGAAGTGACGTTGTAAAGCTTGCATGGCTTCATGAGCGTTGTTGCTCGGATCAGTTACGTTCTTTAAATCGTGATGAATAGTATTCGATATGACCAAATTGGCTAGTTTATCTCGTGAAGTATCAATGAAAGTAATTAAAGGTTGAGGGGTGTCCCAGTAATTGTTGATTCAAATCATAGCTTTCATCGCTCGTACGGTGTCTTTCTTCCAGTCAACGAAATTCGATCCATTCTTCTCAAGATGTGGAAAATTGATGTTGTTTCCAACGTTCTTGATAGATTGATTGATTTCGTCAAGGGCGAATTGATCGGGAGTCATAGGTGTCGACATGTCGGAGGGTTTCACAGGGCGTACTGGATCAGGTTCAAATATCGTATTAGAGCAATAGAAGGGAGTTTCAGGTAGTGGCGTAGGGTAAGATGCGACTGTTCTCGTAACGTGTGAATCGTTCGCAATTGAATCAAAATTCAGAAGAGCAAATCCGGAGGCTAAGTCCGATATAGTTCCGATCGAAGTCGGAGATAAACTTTCAATGGGTAGGGACGTATGTTCGATAGGGTGAGCAGAAGTTAAGGAGAGTTCAGGAAGGTTCGTATCGTATAGCGTATTAAGTTCAAGAGAAAGAGGACTGATAGGAGAGTTTGGAAGTGGCGGTAACGTAGATAGATCAGGAAAATGAGATACAGGCTTGGATGTTGTCGTTAATACAACATCTTCAATCCTTTTTTGTGGGGTTGATGGATGTAAGTCAGATGTATAAGGTGGAGACGGTGGTAGTGGGGGAAGATCAGCAAGAGGTGTGAATAGTGGAGATGGTGGTAATGGAGGTAAGTCTTGTAATAATGGGAAATCGAGATTAGGTTCAGTTTTTGTTTTCTTCTTCGATATTCTTTTGCGTCTTTTAGGTGGAGAACGTGGATTCGTAGCGTAATTCCTACTTCTCGTTTTCATTCGTAGGTCGGCCGTTCGTTAGGATCGGTAACGCGGGCTCATAACCTAAAGTGAATAACAAATCATTCGATAACGCATAAGTATGAGAAATAACAATCTGAGTTCCACAAGTGATGTAAATACCTAAAGTGAATAACAAATCATTCGATAACGCATAAGTATGAGAAATAACAATCTGAGTTCCACAAGTGATGTGGAACTTCGGATACAAGTTGAAAGAGTTTTGTTGGCTCCAGCATGAGAGATGGCTGTGCCGCAGTTGTGTGATCATGTGACCACAACAACCAATTCAAAGGTAGTTCAGTTTTCTTGGAATGCTTGAGTAGGGATGGCTGGCACAATATCACCTGTACACTTAAGTATGTACCCTATACCATAGGGTCATACAGACGTCTGTATGACCCAATGGCATTCGAGTCTGACTGCCAAGATGAATCAACATCTTAAGAAGCATCTTGAAGGGTTCCAAATTTGGCTAAGTCACCTTTTTCCTTAGGGAAACCAAGACCAGCCCGGAATCCCCACAAGATACAGCCCACCATGTTAGCAAAAGTCCACCACCCTTCGACTTTTCCCCACCACCTCAACAAATACCCACCACCCCCTAACTAAGTTCAACCACACCTGAATCTTTGTCTACCCACTCAGCTAAATCCAACCACCCGTCAAATTTACATTCACCCTTCCAACATAACTACACCACCCGTATGGTGACCCTACTTTCAAACCTCACCACCCTACAGGACACCTACACCACCCCCCTCCGACATTACCCATCTATCTACACAAACACCACCGTATCAATATTCACCTCGGAAGCGGGCGCCGTATGACCTGGCACTGGCTGCACTGCCTCTGCGGTCTTTTGCAGTGCCTTTTTTT